GGGGGGCTTACAGCAGGGAGCCCTAAACCATCAAACCCTAAAGCCCCAGATAGAGCCCTAAAGCCCCAAATCCCGCTAGACCCTATAAAGCCAGAAGGCTCTAAACTCCAAAGCCCTCGAACCCCAAGGTTCCTTCAGGACTCTGTCAGGGCTTTGCTTTCAACCCAATAATATAATATATATATATATATAGAGAGAGAGAGAGAGAGACCACATCCCCTAAGACCTATAAGCTACCGCTTCAATCGTAGCATTGACATTCAGGGGGGCCTTGCAGGAGGTTCACCCTGCACTTTGCTGTCACGAAAGGCCGGTTCACGACGTTTCTCAGCTGCAAAGCTTGCGAATCCCAAATTTAACGGCAGCCGTTGTTGCCTGCTTCTGCATTGATGGAGCAACATTCTGGCGACGAAGCTACGGACTCCTTTTGCATTCGGTGCATCGCTACCACCTATCTCTTCGAGAGGTGCCTTTGTGCAGCTGTCTTTTGCGTTTGCATCTTCCACGTGGCCTCATTCGGCCAGGGATTCAAGGCAAACCCGCATGTAATGCGAAACGAGTATCAGTTCGCCTGTATTCACAATATGATGTGTGGCATCACCGAAATCGACTGGGATTCCTCTTGGGTGATCCCCGCCTTTACTCTGATTTGGAAGAACCGCTCGGAGACTACTGAGTATGCTGGTACTGCCTGGCCAAGCGCGACTGGGAGAGACGAATGCCTCGCGCTCTGCGAGAAGAACCACAGCTGCACAGGATACTCTTGGCGCGGATGGCTGCAGGGACATCATAATTTCACCGATTGCCGCTTAGCTAATGCGCAAGCGTTTAGACTTAGATGACGTTCGACTCGATGCCTGCAAGTCAGTGCAATGTCACAGAATCTTGTTCTACCGAGGTCTTCACTGGCAGCATGGTGCATGCAACGTGTCATCTACCCTTGGACAGCTCTGGAAAAGCTGCAATGGCTCGAATTGCACGACTTGTACAAGGATGCGCAGTGAGAGAGTTCGCAGCCTGCAAATGCTGAGGGCTGCAGGGGTGTAAAGATTCAGGCTCCGTGCAGCACGGGCGTGGATTTCCGACTTTGTACGCAGGCACAATACCCAAACCCTGAACTTGTTAGCCCCCGTGCAGAGCTGTTTGCTTCGACTTTGTATGTGGCCGACACAAGTTCGGCCTGACAACCTCGTCCAGGCTTGTGCAACCTCTTGAGGCTGTGCAATGTCATTGCAGGATTGCCAGGAAAATGTTGCTTATCGTGATACACTTCCCATCAGCCAATCAAAGCTGCGACATATTTGCGATATCCCCCTGAACTCTTGCTGCTGTTAACCGCCATAGCCACCAAAACACAAGCGGTAAAGCACATGACTTCAACTTCGAACCACAAATCAAAAGGCATCGAAACCAGAACGTGGAAACCCACCCCTCTTGGTTACCTTTATGGTTACCTTTAGCAATTTATGTTTGTGTGGGTTTCGGGGCTCCTACAGCAGCCACAAACCCGACAGCCCGACTCATGAACCCGTGCCTGCAACTCTTCAGGTCCGCTTGGACCTTGCACTCTCGACTCCCATTACGGCAAAGCTTAATCCGCAGCACCACGAAACCATTAACATCGAAGCCTGCATAATCTCACTTTCCTTAGGCTCCCATTATACGACAACACAAGCATGGCACAGCCCGATACCCGGAAACCCCAAACGCTAAACTCTAGAACCCACCCTTCATACTCAAGGCTCAAGGATGTTACGGCTTGATAGAGGACTTTCCTTGAGATCTTGTAGGTTTAGGACCTAGAGGTCTGAAAGTCATTGTGCGGGGCGTAGGCATCGGTTCCCCTGTAGGTGGTGTTCTTAATACTGCTCTGTTGTTTTGAGAAGATAGGAGCCTTCCGAGTACCAACTCAACCCCTTCACAAGAGCGCCTGACTGAGAGTTGCAGCAGGCAGTAATGGCATCCTGAGCACAAAGTTTTTGAGCCAAATCGCCAGGCACGATTTGGGTGATCTTTCGGGGTTCAAGGTTGCGAAAGAACGGTTCAGGGGTCAGTCTTGAGGTTCGACAGGTCTCGAACCCTCAAGAGTGCAGAGGTCGAGGTGCAGACATGAAAACTTGAAGCAAGACAGCTCCTGGGCCCGAATACAAGACAGATTCGAATGTCGCTTGTATTGCAATATTATAGAATGTTGTTTGGTGTCTTGGGATCCATTCTTTGCGGAAGGTCTAGCAAAAACGTTTGATGTAGCCTGCCAAGCAAAGCCCTTGCGGACCCTACGCAGCCCTTAGAGGCCCTGGAGGCCAAACCACTGTATATCAGGTACAACTCTAGCAAAGCACACAGTTCTAAACCCTGGACCCACCAAATCCTAGACCAAGCCGCAGCGCCAGGATAGAACAATCACTCAGAGAGACCTCGGGCTTCGTCGAGCTTTGCAATAAAACCGAGACACAGTTTCGGCCCTCAGGTGGTCTTGGGGCTTTGGTTTGTAGTGTTTGTGTTTAGTTGTGTTTGTGTTTAGTTTTGGGTTCATAATCGGGCCTGAACGCTATATAGTACTATACCGGGTGTTCATAGGGTTCAGATCTTCCACTTTGCAGGGGTTCACAGTGTTCTTTGTGGGTCCTGGGCCGGCCTAAGAGAAATGTGAACGACCATGTTAGAGTATCGTGCATCTGACTGGCTGGAAATACATACATACATACATGCCTGCATATATGCATACATAATTACAAACACATGCATATGTACATGCAAGCACGCGAACACTTGCATGCATGTGTACATATATATGTATATGTACACACAGATAAATATGTAGGTGTGCCTGCGTATGTGTTTGTTCGGTTTCTATATGTACTTACTGCTATTTATCTGTCTACTTAGACCTGTATCTACTCAAGTGTAGCCACCAGAACCAGATCAAGTTCTCTAATGTCAGTATTCACATCGTCCGCTCAGGTTCCAAGGACTCTGCAACCCTGGCTTGTCGCTCTCCAGCTACGCCCTACCGACGCTGAACGTGTCGCAGGGGCGGCCCGGCCAAAATCTTCTTGGCCAAGTGGGTCCCTTGAACTTCGGATCATGACCGCAAGTTCCCAATGGGCAGCGATAGTCTAGTGGTCCGAACCGCCTCGCCTCGCGGTTGTGGAGTTGCGCGCTGGTATGTCACAGACTACCTCGAGCTATAGTTTATAATATAAACGGGTGTCCTAGATGACCTAAGCCTCATACCCCAACACCAGACTTTCAGACACCATGAATCTCCACCACATTTAAGGCTTCGGGGCTCGCATATGCCCCCAACCACATCCTGAAAGCTAAACCGACGCTCTGAGAAGCAACACCCCTGCTACCCAGGAGCATCGTACCGAACTCCATGACGTTAGATGGCTCCTCGGCAGGGCGCGCAGTCCACATGCCCAATGGCACATGGTACCGTGCTAAATATGCATGTGCGTCGACATTGCGCATCTTCGTTTGTCAAAGGCCATGATCAAGTACGTTAACGCCTTCGAGAAGTCTTTATGTGCGTAGCATACCATATAACAAAATATTTATATATATATATATACATATTGTTTCTTCTTTTTAATATATCTATCCACAACATACATGCATGTGTATGTCTGTCTCTCTCTCTCTCTGTATATATACATATGCACACAGCGATTTAGACGTGTATATACATATATGTACACATGTCTGTCTGCCTGTCTGTCTGCCTGCCTGCCTGCCTGCCTGTCTGTCTGTCTGTCTGTCTGCCTGCCTGTCTGTCTGTCTGTCTGTGTGTCTGTCTGTGTGTCTGTCTGTCTGTGTGTGTGCGTCTGTCTGTCCGTCCGTCCGTCTGTCTGTCTGTCTGTCTGTCTGTCTGTCTGTATGTATGTATGTATGTATGTAGGTATGTAGATATGTACGTATGTATGTATGTATGTATGTCTGCGTGAATGTACGCATGCATGCATGGATGTATGTATGTATGTGTGTTATTATTGTATTATTATCATTATTATGGTTATTGTCTGCACACGTATGTAAAGACCACACATGCACACCTGCCATCTTGGATATCTATGCATTGGACCCCATGGTGTTGCCCTATGACCTTCAATCAGCTTGTCGCGAAAGCGGAGACCATGTGCCCACCTAGGAGGTGATTTTGAAGTACAGTTAGATGAGGATTCCTTGATGCAATGCTTAGAACTAACTAGGCGTGGTGTGAAACGGATTACGACTGTTTATTAACTTACTGTATGGTTTTCAGACCTGTCAAGTACGGCCAGGGGACAGAGTTCAGGGTACCGGAGTCTAAGGCTAGGATCAGGGCCCTGCAATCCAGAACAATGCGGGTCTGGAAGGGGTGCATACTTGTTGATCCGCTCGTTGTTACACGGGTAGACATCGAAATACTGAGCTCTTCTGAAGAAGCATGTTTAGTTTCAGGAAAATGCACCCCAAAAGATCATCAAAGACAGCTTTTGCATTAGGGGTCCAAGAGGGTTGATATTTCAGGCCAATGCTGACAGCTGTTGGCAGTGTTTTGAGAAGTCGTGTCAGTACCTAGGCAATTAACTTCAGGTGTGTTGCTATTTAGTGTCTAGGCAGCATGTGCACAGCCATGCGAGCATAGCCCAAAGCCCTAAACCCCCAAGCCCAGAATCAGACCCGACCAAAGCCCCGAACTCTAAACCCTCCAAGGGCTCGGTTTCGATCCCGTGCCCATCCGCACGGCCTTCCTGGTCGCGTCGAAGCCTTCCGGCTTATTATTTTGTCTTAAGGTGACTACTACTACGCCGACTACGCTTGTGATGATAAAATTCTTGATGGTCGTAGTATTTGTCGCACTCTCGTGGCTCTTTGCTATGATCATTGCTAATTGTTATTGGTCTCATCTTTCTGGCCCCTTGTGGCTAATAGCATCATTACAAGTATCATTGTTGCTTTTCGGTTGTAAGCTTGTTGCATCTTGCAAGTACTGTTCAAGAGTCGATATGACCTTGATGCTTCTGGCTGCCCGCACCAAGCTGAAAAAGCTACATGAGCTGGCAACTTTGCTTCTGGTACTATCGCTTTCTGTCATCTAAATGACCGGGGTAGCAAGACAAAGAGCAGCTCGGTAGCACCACCCTCGTTTCGTGGTCTGTCGTTTTGGAGAGGGCCTTTTCGTTTTGGGAGTTCCTCAAGTTAGAGAAGACCTGCTAGAATTCTTGCAACATTCGAAGTTCTTCTTGATTTCGCCGACGGTTATCCAACAGGAGCCACAACACACATCTCTTCTCCCCAGAAGATCCGTCGCAACAACCTCTGCAGATGCATTTTGAAAAGAAGAAAATCCAATTCTAAGTTGTGCAATTAATAAACAGAAAGCCCTGCAGTCAGAAGTCACGTCACTGCCTCTGCTAGGCATGGGCTTGAAGATGTCTTCCTGCCGACTGGCTATGACCCTGAGGTCTGCACTAGTCTTGTTTTGGCGCCGGCTAGCGTTTGCGGTCAGTAGCTATGACTACTCATGTCGGGTTTCGGTTTCGGGACCGCCGGCCATGCAGTAGGCAATATACCAGACATTACCAGGGTCAGGACATACACACTCTGTAAGTTGCTTGTTCATTGCTTGGAGGACCAAGCACATGGCAAGTTTGGCTGCGACGATGGCAGCTTTATGATAGTCGCACGTGTAACCCGACGAAACTGGAATCCCGCATTCACAAGTTAACCTCAGCAGGTGGAGGAGAGGGCAGAAGTTCTTCGCAGCGTCTTTCGCTTCCGCTTTGACGTTGGCACGGTCCAGGCTCACTCGTGCATGAAAACCGATGTACATCATAAAACGGCGCGTGACGAGGGTTGGCATGAGTTTATCTTGTGCCGTGATGTAGGATGCAGCCCGTACCACTGTGCCTTTTGAAGTTTGCAGTGGGTCACATTTTAAAAAAGTGACAGCTTGCGACATGTGCGGAAAGCTGCTCTGCCGTTGCATCATCTTGTTGAGCCCCAAAGAGGCATTTTTTTAGTCCCAGACAAGATGGGGCTTAGTCTGAGCAAACAAA